ATGGATGATTTATTTATGGTTCCAAATTCAAATTTTTGTTTTTTTTGTTGTTGTTAGATTGGCACAACTGTTTTTCATTCCATTTATATTAAATACAGTGCTGTTTTCAGTTATATCATATCTAGTGTGTTTTGCGAATTTCATAATGGACAAAAACATCGAACAAAGAGTTTGTCTTAAATTTTGCATCGCCAAAGGAATTTCGTATTCGGAGTCACTGAAAATGTTACAGAAGGTTTACGGTGAATCGACTTTATCGAAAACACGTGCTTATGAGTGGTACAAAGCGTTTAAAAGCGGTGGAGATGTGATGGAAGATTTGCCTCCATCTGGTAGGCCATCGACGTCTGCAACTGAAGTTAACATCGCAAAAGTGAAGGAAATAGTGATTGAAAATCCTCATTCAACTTTGAGAGAGATAGCTGCCGAAATTTCTGTATCTCACGAGCCGATCCGTACCATTTTAACTAATCATTTAGGTATAAAACATGTTACCGCTCGGCTAGTCCCAAAAGACCTGAATTTTCTCCAAAAACTCAATCGCATGAGAGTCGCTGAGGACATGCTAAAACGTGTCAATTCCGACCCAACATTCATGAAACGCATTGTTAATGGTGACGAGACGTGGGTTTACGAGTTTGACATGCAAACTCGTAAACCCAGCAGGAAGGCGCCACTCCGAAGCTTGTTGACTACAAGCTTCGGAGTGGCGCCTTCCAACTGAACCGAAACCGAAAAAAACCACGCCAAAGTCGATCAAAAGGTTAAAGTTATGCTGACAGTTTGCATTTGACTATCGTGGTGTTGTGCACTCGGAATTCTTGCCGGAAGGTCAAACCGTAAATAAAGAATACTTACGGTTTCGGTACTTTCTTGAGAGAGTAGTATATAGTAATATAGCTCCTGCGTACGCACTTACTCACGCAAAAACATTCCTTTCAGAAGCTCTAAGAAACTCCAAATTCATTTTGATCTAAATGCGTTTCAAATTTACTTAAAAAGCTAAACCACAACTTTACGAGGCAGCCATACCGCACATCTCACATAATAATATGAATTTGGTGTAACATACAATAATTCGAACAACAAAATTACTCCGAAAACTTGTAATAGTCTCATTTATTGGACGCAATCCACCAATCGGTACTAAGTGTGTGCTTTTAAAAATATTTTTTTGAATTAAAAATAAGTAATGGACTCAAAACACTGGCTGTTACATCTCTCGGATGGCTTGTAATTATTTTAAATGTCCCGCGTGCGCCCGCGTCTTCGGTGCCGTGGTCCAAACGCGTACTGCTCGAGGCAATCCGGGCGTGATTGAGAATCCATATTGAACCTACACAAAACTCCACATTGTTTCTTTTCTAATTAACTCCAGTCTAGTAACACCTGGACGTATGGTTAAATTCCATTTTTTTAAATAAAATTCTGAAAGATGTGTATGTAAATTAAAAAAAACTACTAGATATGAGGATCAACAGCCTATATCTAAGATGTATATGTACACTTTAAATTCTTTTTCTATACTTTATATACTTTTAATATCGGCATCAATACATATTTGATAAGTGCCTTGTCAGCCTTCAGAATCCTCAGATCTAGAATCACGTAGCTATGCAAAGAGAGACTTCGATAAAATCACTTAAGTAGGATAATTAGTCCCAGAGTACTGCCACAAATAAGACGAAAGAAGAGGTTAAGTAAGAGGACCTTGTGTGACATTCCTTTCAATCCTCAAACTGATCAAGAATATATAACAGAAGTAAGATTCGAAGAGGCCTTTTATGGGGATAAATGATTGTTCCGAAAGAGCTCTCCGCATCCGAAGAGTGTAAAAAAATGTTCCCTTTCGTTTCGGTAGGCAGAGTTGCGTTGTTTTCACCATTATTTTTCATGCTAGCAGATTACTACCAGTTTTCATGGTTTAATAAAAAAAACCTGAAACTCGATCCTAGTAATTCCTATCCTAAAAAGTGTTTCCTGTTTATAATACAGTAAATATGGTAGGTACAGCTGTCCAAAAAGCCTTTCACGGCTGGTCTCATATTTAAATGATTATAATCATGATAATTATCATAACAGAATCACGTGTTGCCAATACTTAAGGTGAAACGCGCTAATCTCATGAAGTACTGGTTTCAATTTAAACATTATTTTAGTGGTTGATAGTCCATTTATGGAGGCAGGCTATAGGCAAGATAACATTACGAGCAGGGAGCCGAGTATCAATGAAAAATGTTTGCGAAAACGGAGCAAATTTATTCCTTTTGAGAGACTTAGACCAAGTTGCCCGTGTCAGATATTATAAAATAAAATTTAAAAAGAAGTTAAGTCTACGTTTGACTTATCTGTATTCATACCTAAAAATAACTGAATATAGTAAGACCTGTGTCAATATCACAATATAAAGATAATGATGGCTTTCCTTACCGTTATAACATTTTTACAACACATAATCATGACAGGTCATTGAAAGTACTGGAACAAAAATGTCAAATTTTAGATATCTATCTTGACGAGTTATCTCAGGAGTTCAAAGCGAAAATTCGTTAGGTACTGACTACATGACATAACGTATTTACATACATGAATTTAATTACTTAGTCTAATAACGAAAATTGTACTTATCAGCACCAAATTTATCGTTCACAGTTGCTTCTGTTATCTCAATCTATAACGCCGTAAAGATAAAGTAGAAGGTTTGCATATAGCCATAACTATCTACTGCCTGTATCCGACACTATCGCTCACTTCAAGGAGATCTTCATACTTGAATCCACGTTACACATCACTGTTATACTTAGTAAACGATTTCTGAGTTTATTAATTAAACATAGCTATTACATAATTTTATAATGTCCCGTTATCATCAACCAAAGATACCTCAAATCCAGATAAAGGTAAGCTAGCATATTTTACTGAGTTTATATTATAATATAAGATTTTGATTTCTTTAGGTAGGCATCAAAACAATAGTGAAGTTAGTTTTATACGTAAATTGATTTTAATGTGTACAGAACATTAAGTCAGCAGCAGATAATCAAAATGTTATCTAGTCGCGTCAGTTATACGATATCGTATACGTAGAATATTTATGTAGGATTAATTAATTAATTTTTAATATTGCGAACAATTAGATACCTACCTGTACCCATAGAAAAAGAAATAGAATGATTCTGCCGAAATTGTTAAATATTTCGGTAGAATCATTCTATTTATTTCTTTGTTTTTTTAAAGTTCCACACTAGGAAAATTTGTCGCGGAGGACTTTACAAACATTTATGAAACGGACACAAAGAACACCCAGACTCAGTTCATCAGAGTGGTGGATCACTCAGAGTGGTGTCCGATGGAGGGATCGCACACACAACAACTACTCGTAAGTTGGTTACTGTCGGCGGCCGTAGGTACCTACTAGGGATTGCATGAAATCACAAATACGTGTGATAAATCATATGATTTATAAATCATTTAATCACACCTGTGCAACAAACCACTGCCACTTAATTATTATTATTACGCTAGCGCAAGGAGACCTATTTCTTAGCACCGTGCGGGAGCCGGGTCTATCGCGTGATAGCTGGGGGCAACACATGCGACTGTGACAGCGCCTGGGACTTGCGACCCAGCTATAGGTTTAGGGAGTAAGTACTCCTTGCGACAAATCTAAAACAAAAGAAAAACAGAATTTTGATTGATTTTAATGCCATTTATCTTTGTCCATGACGAAATCACAATCACATGTGAAATCGCTGGAACTAGAACCGATCATTTCAACAATGAATATGATTTAAAAGTAGCAAAAATTGCCACAGCTAATACCTACATCAGGTGAACTGTCTGCTCCTTTGCCCCGTATACCAAAAAAATAATTAAAACATCCAGTTCTCTCCTAGCGCCTACTAACTAGTCAAATAACCACCTTCTGGTAGGTGTTCTTAAAGAACACGTGAACGGTAGTCACGGTTGCAGGGGATGTCGTTCCGTACTGCCGATAACCGATAAACTTTGTCGAGCACTTTCGCCTCCAAATCTCACAGATGTGTTCCAACTAAGATCTTTCATCGACACTGCGAGGTTTTTACGTCTAGCTGTTACCATGCTATAAACCTCAAAGAACGCCAGAGGCAAACTCTATTTCGGAGGTATCCTGGTGTGTGTGTGAGCCACTGTTACTAAATACCTAACTAAGAATGCTATTAGAGATCCCAACTTCACACTTCACCAGCCGAATGGCTATTTACACACCTTATTACATATAAATAGACAAAATCTCTTCTAAAACTTAGGGAATTATTAATACTTCAGTGTTTGCGAATGATCTAAAATCCTAAAGGGCCCAAACGCCTCTATGTGCGATATCCCAATCTCCAGAAATTAAAAGGCCGAACCCGTTGAAAAACTATTTTTATTATTATTTTGAAATTTTTCATATGCCTACTTGTCAGCTTTGGCAGTCTTCGTTTCCTTGAAGCGTTAGTTAGTCAGTCACCTACCTTAAAATATTAAAATTATGAGGCCTGGGGTTTTAAAAAAATATAAAGAAATATGATACTCTGTGATATCGAAAATCCTACCTACATGGCATAAACTTTGGTTAAATTTACTTAGATATTGTTAACAGTAACATGACTTAACCATGATCAAATCTAAACCTTTCATAGACAAAAAATTGTTAAATTTAGTAAAAGTAACGGATTGTACAAACTCTATCGGACGTGGTCAAGCGCGGCAGTGAACGGTCGGTGACGGCCAAGGCCGAACTAAGATTGTGATTGTTATATTTGAAGTTGTTCTTGTGATTAATTACAAGTATCTTTCACCACATTATAGCTTCAACGAGAGGTCTTTTAACAAGTTACCACTTAAATACTTGACTGTCAAAGTAGAAAAATTAAAACGAGTGCCCTACTAGTGTTCCAGGCCAGGTGCTTAACTACGTAGACAAGTTCTTATTGGATTCAAACTAACAAATAATATATCTACTTTGTGAAAGTAATATGATGCACTTAGTGTTTCGAGAAATTGTTGCTAAAGCTTCGGTTGAAGCTAGACAAGAAACGGTTAGTATTTAATTAATATTGACTTATTTTTTCATTTGGCTTTATACTTTTGGTAGATCCCACCTATTCAGTTATCTGCCGACCAAAGATTTTTGCGTAGGTTCTATAGTATCCTAGTCATATCTAAACTAATGACATAATAAACTTCTGGACGGTTCATTATATCATATAAGCTGCAATGAGTATCACAGTTACTTTATGAAATTGATATACTTAGTCTTAGTTTTTTACGAAGACAATATAATTGTTTTAACATAAATTCATTTATTTTTATTATTTTGCAATTAACTTAACTAAGTAAATAACTGTATAACATTAAGTTTTTTTAAATAGTGAATCGCAAAACAAAGTACATTACTACCTTTATTTGTGTAAAAATAACAGTCGTCGTAAACACTTTCTGTTAATCATTCTGCCATCTGACGGAGGCTGACAGTAACAAGTTTTGTCATGACATTTGAGACTTGAGAGAAAAAAAGATGTTTTGGACGTTTTTATAAATTTCTCCAATAAATGTACAAAAAGTGATAATATTATGATGAATGAAATTCATTTCATGAATAAGAGTTTACAAAACATCATGTAAATTACCCTTGAAATAGTTCAAAAGTGAGGCTATACATGAATAAACAGTGATATTTACAGAATTTACTTAAGTATTTTTGAAAATATTGTTCTACTGCTTAGATGCAATTTATTTTTTGTATTATATCGTATTCGTTCCTCGTCTGTCAGGTGGCACCTCAACATATGCCGTATAATTCATTAAGCTCCCAGTTGGTTTGTCCTAAGGATGATTTATCAAAATTAAGTAAGAAGGTGTCTAAGCCTGCACATAGTAGGTATAATAAAGTTGACGAGATGGCAAGTAGTTCTAGAGCCAATGGTTTCTATCGACCCAGGAGTGCACTAGCGAGAGCTTTGTATGAGAAACAAAACAATGATAGATACCTCGAAGAACTGGACCAGAATGAGGTAAGTTATTTGTCAGCTGTTTACAAACATGTTAGTACTGTTATAGAATATTGTATATTCTCTGGGGACTAGATACATTTTGAGCACAATTGCAATACCTCTTATTTAAAACAAATAAACTGCAAAAAAAATGATATTTAAAAGGTAGCGGATACTGTATTATTGGAGATACTTAAAAAGGTACGTACTTTCTAAGGAGAGGCCTATGTTCAGCAGTGGACTATTAAAGGCTGTTGATGTGATGTGTGATGATACATATCCATATCTAGTTTGCCTTTTGTGCTTAACGTCTGATGCTTAATATCAGTTTCTGTCTGAACTAGAAATGGTAGGTTAGTTGTTGTCTTATGTAATCATACTTCTTAAACTTTGTGTGATGTGCCAAACTTCTATATCTCTGTTACTGGTGTGCTTTAATATATTTACTTAAATGTATGCTGTTGTTTACCTATTCTTCACTCTAAAATGGAACAGATTGATTCTTTATTTATATAGAGAGCCTGATACTGATACAAAAAACATGTAACAGTTTTTTTAAAACCCTTTTGGACAAGACTACTGCTATGACTAGTCTTACATTATGTAGGTCCATATCAGAAACTTGTTAAGCGGCATTTAAACTCACAACTACATGATTGCGGGTTGCCCTTATTTATGAATGAGTGTTGTATTTGAGTTTCATCTTACAGTTTTGAGGTTAAAATTGTAATACAAAAGGAAACACATTCTTTAACACTGCAATATCAGATTGTCTACAATTTTGTCCTAGCAAACAAAGCCAACACCTGAAGTATACCACTGCGTAACGAACAATCCCTTTCTTAAGTATCAGACTTCCAGAGCCAGAATGAAGAAGATGTGTAAAAGAGACAAGTTACTATACCAGGTTTGCTATTCTTTCTAGTTACTTTTATAGGCAGTATAGGATGGTATTCTCTTGTAGTTTATTTTGTAATGTTATTCAGTTGTAAAGATGAAACATCATCTAATAATTTATTTGTTTTGTAAATAACATACATACATAGCATTGTACAATATTATATTAGTCTGTGTATTATTTAGTTGACAATAAACCGACTCAGTAAAAATGATTGTTCAAGTATAATATTATTACCAATTCATATAAAATTATACTATAATGTGGGACGTCCAGAATAGGCTTTTAAACCAGTAAAATAACTCAAAAGATATGTTGCTGTTATATAACTTAGACATTAATAAAAAAAGTACTAATTCTGCTGCTGGTGCTGTGTAAAGCAGTTTTGATGTTTTCAAATGTTGATGTAGTGGAATTAAGAACATGTTTGGTGAATTCATTGCAATGCACACACTATAATAATAATAATATACCTCACACATGGCCTTCTGATCCCAAACTAGGCAGAGCCTGTACTATGGTAACCAGACTGCTGATAAACATACTTATATATTTTTAAATAGATACATATTATAGATAAAATACACCCAGACACAGAACAACTGACCATGCTCATCACCCAATATTGGTCCTGGGTGGGATTTGAACAAACAACCTGCAGTTTAGCAGTCAGGGTCACTAACCACTAGACCAACAGGCCCGTCAGTCCTATTTTTTATTTAATACACTGACTGTGTATTAAATACTTACATAGGATGAGAATTTCTGAGTCATTTGAGTTTTTTGAAAATGGGATTATCTCTGCCATTAGAATTACTCTAATACTAATCCATACTTATATTATAAATCTGAAAGAGAGTTTGTTTATTTGTTACGCTTTCACGCCTAAACCAGTAGACCGATTTTTTAAATTATTTGCTACATTATCAGCGAGTAACATATTCTACTTTTTACCGCGAAAACCGGAATACACGCGGGCGGAGCCGCGGGCAAAAGCTAGTAAATAATAAAGCGTTTTTATTTAGAGCCTTCACGATGTCCCTTTGTGTGCCTTACGGCATAGGCTGCCTCAATTGTCTATTCCATTACCTTCTATCTGCCACGGCTCTTAGCTAAATGTGGTCTAAGGTCGTTTCCAGCTCGTCCTTCCATCCTCTCACTCTACGACATCAGCTCGCGAACCCGTCTCTTGGATACCAGACAGTCACGGGCTTACTCCATTTTTCGTGCTTACAACGGAACAAATGTTTAGTCCTGTTTGCGCCTTGTGGTCGTACTCCTGTCTTTGTCTTTTAGCTCAACTCTAGTATACACCTTTCTGTGCCTCTAGCATTTTGAAAGTTTGTCCTTATGATCCTTAGTCACGGACAAGGTTTCGCAGGCAATGGTCATAACTGGGGGTATACGGTCGATTTTTTTTCTTGATCTTAACGCCTAGCTCCTTGCTTGCAAAATTTATCATTTGGTGATATAATCATAAGTAAATTATTTTAATATCAAATAACGAAAGGATGACCTAGTCAATAGTTAAATTATTCTCTTGTTACTTCAAGGTGAAGCAGATTTACGGGTATGTTTTAGTTATCAGTCTAGGTACTAGTAACTAAAATTTCCACGTAAATTTAGTAAGTAGTAGAGTAAATAGAATATAAATAGTACCTATTAATAGTTAGTCTTGTTTTATTTTTTATTCCTTTGCGTGTTAAGTGAAAAGTATCAAGCATTTATACTTACGAAATTACTTAAAATTAAATTTACATACCATTCCTTTGCGGTGGGAGAGACATGCCACGGCGCGTAATCTTACACTCACAAAAAAGTTATTTGTAACAGTCAAAAAAGTTATTTGTAACAGTCAAAAAAGTTATTTGTAACTGTTGATTTAAGGGTTCTATACGCAAAGGATCCTAGGGCCCTATTGCTGTCACGCACGTGTCCATGTGTGCGTCGTTTGTAGCACAGGTTTTACAGCTAAACGGATGGAGCTACAGTCTTCAAATTTTCACTGTATAAATATCTTGTTGACGCACTTAGCCAGTTTTTAAGAATAGCTAACGAATTTTGACTGTAACAACTTCTGCTTGCACTGTTTTTCGATTGTATGAGCATATAATAACAATCCTCATATATCTCACACACGGCCGTTTGATCCCAAACTAGACAGATCATGTATGTTACTTTGGTGAATATACATAAATTACACCTAGACACAGAACAAATGATCGTGTGGATCGCACAATATTTGACCTGGATTTAAATCAAACCCACGACCTCTGGCTTAGCAGTATAATAATCATAACTTCACACATCTGACACACGGCAATCTGATCCCAAACTAGGCAGAGCCTACCAGACTGCTGATTAACATACTTATATATTTTTAAATACACACATGTTATAGACAAATTACACCCAGACACAGGACAAATGACCGTGCTCATCACACAATATTTGTTCTGGGTGGGAATCGAACCCACGAACTCGACTTAGCAGTCAGGGTCACCAACCACTAGACCAACAGGCTCGTCAAATATTAAGAAATGATAATAGATTTTTACTATTAACTTTTTGTCTGGACCTATGTAGAAATTATTTCATCAGTTATTCACAAAATGTGTCAGATGAACTTATTACTACTACGAGTATATTCATTGGAAAACAAAATATGAGTTAAGAAATACTCCGATATGAACCAAATGGCTGGGGTAAAATCCCCGATAACAAGTAAAAAACGTAAATGTTTTTTTCGCAATTAATGTCAACGTTCTGCGATAATTAATTATTGTTTCCCCTTTAACAATATTTTCTTCTATGAATAGCATTAGCATATTCTATCATGAGCATATCGATTCTTTAGGAATGCACGTCATAAATCATTTTCCTGCAATTTTTATATTTCACTTTTAGATTTCCATTAGACTTTATTAATTAGTTATCATTTATATTAGTACTACAAGTATTTAAAACGTTTTCGTAGAACCTTCAGGATCCTTTGCCAGGTTTTGATCAATAGGTCCATTTAAAGAGGTTGTGGTTTCCTCATCGTTGTACTATTAATTAGTAAGTGGCTTAATTTTGTGTGATTCTGTTTCTTTAGTAAGTGTTATTGTGGACCGAAGTTCTTTTCACGTAATCTTTCCATTCATTTTTTTGTTTGATTAAACGCGCTAATCTCAGGAAGTATTTTTTCGAATTGAAAAATTCTTTTTTTCCTTTGAGAGACGCAGACAAATTTGCGTTGGTCAGCTCGTATAATCACTAAACCTCCGTTTTCACTTAATCTATTTCACGCTGTCAATTTCTGGGGTCACCGTGATCTTCTAACCGTCAGCACTATGACCGCCTCCGGTGCAGAACTACCCGTGCGACTTACCGGAAGACCGGTTACCCAACCGCTCATGTCCTAAAGATCGTTCCCAGAAAGATTCCTGTTTAGGAAAGTTTGGCACGCTGCGTTTTAGTCGATCCGATTCTAACGCACCACTGTAGGGTCGGCGAATAAAGTTGTTCACGCTCATAATAAAATCCTATACTTATACTTCCTATTTTTTTAACATATTCTTAGAATAACTTCGGGCAATTCAAGTTCCCCAAATTTATGAAATTTGGCATATTTAAAGTTTATATATGACAAAAAAAACTTAATATAAATTTAAAAATAAGTATGAATTGCCGGTATATAATTAGAAATAAACCTAAAAATTTAAAACAATAAATTGTATCGAAATTTGACTTAATTAAATCTCTAGATTTTTAATTATACCATAAACAGCAGCATACAACCCATTATATTTATGTAGGTTATATCTTGAACTTAATTAAAATACTAGCTTGTTATTGTTATTGGTTGATAGCATATCGCTCCTATTACAATATTGTTATAATGTTATTAATATAGACATGCATGTAGGCTCTACCAACGTTTTGGTAACTCGGTAACTTAATCATATTTCAATATTTAAGTGGTGTGACCTAACGAGTAGGAAGTACAGTAGAAGATATAAGTTTTTTTTACTAAGAACTTCATATTCTTGTATCGTAATCGATTATTGATAAATATGCTGTTTGGACTTTTCCTGACTATTTTAAGTGGGTTTAAATTATCACGTACGTAAGATTTATT